AAAGGAACTCTGGCTTTATGAATACAGGTTCATAATCTGATTTTATTTTTTATTTATTCTGAATCTTCTCTAATTTCCAGGCAACATACTTATGTTGCTGTTTTAATTGAGATTGAAAGAATAAAATGCATAAGAATTAAATGTTCATATTAAAAGATTAAGTAAAATAGTATTTATTTTATAATTAGCTGCTGTACGTTCCACCTTTGGACAATCATCAGTACTTTTGACTAATAAGGGAATACTTATGGTAAGAAGAAATGCCCCAAGGTATACACAAGTCAGAGAAAGTTGGAAAACAGTAACTTAGTGAACTCATCGCTGCAGTGCTTGGAAAAAGTAGGTTGGTACAGGTTCAGTCATCCAGATGCCTCTGTCCAAAGTGCTGAAACAGCATTAATCAATGTGAGTTGAAGCTAAAAGCAATCTGAGTGGATGACTGTAGTAACCAGGGCGACACTGTTTGAATAGCCTTTGCCACCATCTGACCCTGTTTGGACCAAACTTTAGCTAGAAGAGCGACGGCCTCATCCTAATCTGGAATCCATCAGATTAAGGTTCATCATTATGTTAATGGATGCGATGGACTGATATTGTTTTCTGCACTACGACCCACTATGGTCCACGTTTCTGCACCCGCTTTGTCCAGAAAACAATGTTCTAGAAGTTTTATGCTTATTCAGACTTATGACTTAAAAAGCAAAGTTCTACAATGTTCTGGTTTTGGGTGGCAACCTGCCCAAAAAATCCAGACTTGTTCACCTTGTGTTCACTTTGTGTGAGGAACGCTAACATGCTAACCACGAAGCTATACTTTCTGTCCCATCTAACCCCCAGTTGGCGATAAGGTGCCAGCAGACATCCGGCTGACCTCCATCTGCTCCACCACACTCAGGGTGGACCAGTCCATTCTGACGGGGGAGTCCGTGTCTGTCCTCAAACACACAGATCCTGTACCGGACCCCAGGGCTGTCAACCAGGACAAGAAGAACATGCTGTTCTCGGTAGGTCTCTGCTGTAAGGAATCATTACTGTGGAAAAGATCAGCTAGATCGATTATGATCCATCAGTTTCCTGCTTTCATCATGAAAAGAAGAGAAAACTGTTTGGAAAATGTATTTTCCTAAACCTTCCTATAAACAGAAAGGAAAATCAGAAAAGTCTTTGAATGTCTCTGCAAAAAGTGTGGTTTAGTTATCTGATCTTAAAGGTCAAATAGAAAACACTCTCTCATTTGATAGAACGTTCAAATTTAACCACATCACAAGTGAAAAAAATTCCAGCATTTTTTGATGTATAGCATAAAATAAATCAGTAAGATAGCAGACAACCCAGCCCTGTGTGCGGTGCTAGCGGTTCTGGGTAGCAGGCTGCTGAGCCTGGATGGGGAAGGCGGCCCCTCGGTAATCCGATCGCAGAGAGCGGTCCAAGCACCGGGGGGGATGGATAACTGACTGTTATCCATTGCGGCTCTGGAGGCCGGACCATAATGAAATGGAAATCCGTCTGCAGCTGCGACTATACTAATCTATGCAGCTAGCTAGGGTTTGTTGTTTTATGAAATAAAATATCATAAAAAATAAAAGATGCTTTGATTCAGCTTTATTGCCATCAGCCACTTTATTAAAGCTATACAACAGAGAAAACAAGCCGTTGGTTCTTTGGTGTTTTGAATCCAACTGATCCTGTGAGAGCAGGATCGATGATAAAAGAATCTCCTGTGATCCCAACATAGTTTAACTTTATCGCCATGGACGCCACAGATTGTCCAGTTGATTTTACTCTAATCTGTTCAAGGGTGTAATTTTGTGATGAAAGTTGGTGGGGGCGCTCTAAGGGTGAAAATGATGGACCTACAGTTACTCAACCTGAACGCTTTCAGGTTTTTGTATTTTCCAAAAATGAGATATTTTCATTCATTTCATGCTTTCCTATTGTTGACACAAGAGAACCATAATGGACTAATATTAATACTTATAGATGTTAGAGAGATGCCTTTTAGTGCATTACATATATACGGCCCAAAAACATCAATGTATAAAAATAATTAGACGCGATTCTGATGCCAAAATTGATACATCATGCAACCCTAGAAATACAATTTCAATTCCATCCATCCAGAAAAATATGGATATGCTGCATTTTAAATATAGCACAGCATATTTTTTCTTGCAAACTTTGAGATACATTTCATAGCATGTCGCATGTCCCAGTAAATCAGTTCCACCTTAAACCTGCAGCTCTCTCTGCTTCTCTCTGTGCTCTGTTTAAAAAGATGTATGAACCTCTTTTCTAATATAATGATGCAAGAAACAAAACTTAAAGACACGTAGAAGCTCTGCAGTCTGATTCTGTCTGTACAATAATAAAACTAAAAAACATGTTAATTTTAACCTGTAACTGGGACTCATGGTCCTCTGAGAAGCCAAGCTTTTATAGTAAAGAAGAACATTTAAACTATGTTTTTTCAAGCTTCTTGCATTATAATACTAATGCATGATGTATGAACTTACAATCTGTTGCCATTTTTAGCTTAAAAATGTCTGCATGTCTAACGAACAGATTTTTCGTTTGCATCCCTAATTAAGTAAAAGTCTCCTAACTTTTACTTAAACATTGAAGTAGCTGCTGGTTAATATTCACTGAGTGCTGCTGTGTGT